GGGTCAGTCCCAAGTTCTCTCAGAGCTGTTCTCTCAAGGGCAGTTCTTGGAAGAGCTCTCTCGGCTCCGCCTACCTCACAGGCAGTGAGTGAGTGTGAGCCAGCTCACAGTTTTTTAGCCTCTGGCTCACACATTTTTTGTCTTAGCTCAGGAAGGATGGCTCCAGAGCAAACTAATTGATGCAGTAGCCAAATCGCTGGCTCACAACTTTAAGGCCAGTAGCTCACAAAGTAGCATTTTTTTTGCTCACAAGACGCCTCAACTTAGAGGGAGCACTGCTCACCAGGTGTCTGTTGTGGGGAGGGGAAGGGAAAGGAGTTTGTAAGCCACTCTGAGACTCCGAGTGAAGGGCAGAGGTATAAATCCGATCTCTTTCTCCTCCTCCTCCTCCTCTTCTTCTTCTCATCTTTCTCACTGAGTGTTCGTTGGTTGTACACAGGGGTCATTTCGTAGAAAAAGAGGTGCAGGAGCTCATTAGCATGGCTTATTTGCATATGCCACACCCCCTGACATCACCGGAAGTGTGTCAGAAGGCAACACCCACCGCTTAGGCTCCACTTGACTGTTTTGGATTGCTAGCTGTTGGGGGGGGGGGAACGTGCAGATCTGTCCTCGCAGAGGAGGGAGAGCTGGTACCTGAATAAAACTTGGTCTTAAAGGCGCCACTGGACTGTTTTGGATGGCTAGCTATTTTTTGGGTGTGTCGGCAGATGGGGGGGGGGGGAACGTGCAGATCTGTCCTCGCAGAGGAGGGAGAGCTGGTAGAGCTGGTACCTGAATAAAACTTGGTCTTAAAGGTGCCACTGGACTGTTTTGGACCGGGGGGGGCGGGGGGAGCTCTGCAACTTACCTGGCTGCTTCTTGCTCTGACTGAGGGCTGCTGGGAGCAGGGGGTGGAGCTTGTTGCATGTGCCCGCCCCCTGGGCTCTTTACTCCCGGAGCTCCGCTCCTGTGCGCTCCTGCAGGGAATGAGCCCTGGTTGTACCCATTCTGTGACATGGCAAACAGTTCCGTGGGCTTCTGTAGGCATGCAGGTGTCGGCTTGTTCTCCGGAGTGGGTCTCCTTGGCAGGGCTCTGCGGGGGCTCCCTTGTCCCACTGGAGCAGTAAATGCTCTTCCAGCCCTGCCCTCGACGGCTCCTTGAGCACGGCCACGAGCAAGCCTTTCCGACCCGCCTGAACTTCCCGCCCTCCCCACCCGCCACCCCTGTGGGCATCTGCCTGCTGGAGGGGTCCTTCTGCCGCTGTTTTCCGAGTCCTTCTGCAGACAGTTGAGGGGGTGGATCCAGGGCATGGCCAAGCACTGTTTCTCTGGGCCTGGGGCAAACCGGGAATCCCATCCAAGTATCTGAAAGGCCGTCATGTAGAAGATAGAGCAGGTCTATTCTCTCTTGCTCCGGATTGCAAGACCAGATCTGACGGGTGGAAATTACGAGGGAGTCGTTACCGGCTAAATATCAGGAGGAACTTCCTAACTGTGAGAGTGGTTGAGCAGTGGGACAGACTGCCTCGGGAGGGGGTGGATGCTCCTTCGCTGGATGTTTTCAAGCGGAGGCTGGACGGCCATCTTTCGGCTCTGCTGTAGGGCTCTCTTTCGGCTCTGCTCCTGCAGAGTGCTGGGGGCTGGACTAGATGACCTGTAAGGTCCCTTCCAACTCTAACATTTGATGAGTCTATGATTCTATCCCACGTATCCTCTCTCATAAGCCCTGAAAGAGACATTTCTGTTTTCTTTCTCAAATGACAACAAAGGAGGGCGCTTTGCATGGAAGCTCACAGTTCGAATAAAACTCTGTTGGTCTTGAAGGTGGCCCTGGACTTGAACTTTGTAAAGGGGCCTGATCGTGGTTTATTTCAGGGTTCCCCAAGGTGGGCGCCGTGGCCTCTGCCGCCACCTTTTCTGGCACCTACCAAGTGTTTTTAGAAAGTGGGTGGGGCCAGGTGGGGCTTTGGTCATCGAGTCTTTTGAATGGCCACTGGAGATTCGATTGGCGGTGCAGATTTTTTAAAATGTTCCTTCGGCAGCAGCTTGCCACCACAGCACAAGGGCCAGTTTGGTGTAGTGGTTAAGAGCGCGGACTCTAATTGTGGAGAACCGGGTTTGATTCCCCACTCCTCCACTTGCAGCTGCTGGTGTGACCTTGGGTCAGTCATAAGTTCTTTCAGAGCTGTTCTCTCAGGAGCAGTTCTCGAAAGAGCTCTCTCAGGCCTACCTACCTCACAGGGTGTCAGTTGTGGGGAGGGGAAGGGAAAAGAGATTGTAAGCCACTCTGAGATTCCTTTGGGTGGTGAAGGGCAGGGTATCAATCCAATCTCTTCTCTTCTTCTTCGCGGTGCAGCTGGGGCAACCATTTTGTGGCTGGTTCCACCTCCCATGGCAGCTATTCAGTCAGTCAGTTTATTATTACAGTCATCGACCAGTGCATACCAATTTGAAAGGCAATGTAGAAAAATTCCCGACAGTATCCTAGCTGGTATGTGGCAGCTATTCTATTGCAGCTATTTTGTGGCTGTGCCCACGATGCTACATCACAATCCCAAAGGTGCCTGCAGGCTCAAAAAGGTTGTGGATCCCCTGGTCTTATTTATATATACCTTGTCTTTCTCCCCAATGGGGACCCAACGCTGTTTACATTACTCTCCTCTGGTTGATCTTCACAACATCCCTGTGAGGTAGGTTAGCCTTAGTGTGAGTAGCTGGTCCAGTAAGCTTCCATTGCAGAGTGGGGATTTGAATCTGGGTCTTACAGTTTCTAGGGCTACGGTGGTTCAGAGGTTAAGACGCTGAGCTGCAGACCGGAAGGTCTGTAGTTTGGCTAGTTCGAGACCCGAGTGCCGCGTGATGGAGTGAGCTCCCGTCTCCAGCCCCAGCTCCTGCCAACCTAGCAGTTCGAAAGCAAGAAATTGTAAGTAGATAAATAGGTACTGCTTTTGTGGGAAGGTAACAGCATAACGTGTGCCTCGGGGACCCAACACTGTTTACATTACTCTCCTCTGGTTGATCTTCACAACATCCCTGTGAGGTAGGTTAGCCTTAGTGTGAGTAGCTGGTCCAGTAAGCTTCCATTGCAGAGAGGGGATTTGAATCTGGGTCTTACAGTTTCTAGGGCTGCAGTGGTTCAGAGGTTAAGACGCTGAGCTGCAGACCGGAAGGTCTGTAGTTTGGCTAGTTCGAGACCCGAGTGCCGCGTGATGGAGTGAGCTCCCGTCTCCAGCCCCAGCTCCTGCCAACCTAGCAGTTCGAAAGCAAGAAATTGTAAGTAGATAAATAGGTACTGCTTTTGTGGGAAGGTAACAGCATAACGTGTGCCTCGGCTTTTAGTCATGCCGGCCACATGACCACGGGAACGTCTTCGGACAGCACTGGCTCTTCGGCTTGGAATTGGAGATGAGCACCGCCCCCTAGAGTCGGATTCGACTGGCTTTCAAGCAAGGGAGACCTTTAAAACCTTCAGTCACCGTTTCTAGGCTAATACTCTTAACAGCTCCACCACGCTGGCTTTGGTCCTGAGCTTGCAGCCCAGGCCAGGACGGCTCCCCCAGGACTGCCTGTATCTCTCCCCCCCCCCTCCATTGCTTAGGCCTCGGTCAGGCGATTGGCATGGGAATCGTTGCGTCTGAAAAGTAGACATTGGGGGTTTGTGCCAGTTTGGAAGTGATTTACAAGCAATTTGAACTGTGTATAGCAACATCCACGCACCCGGGCGTGTGTACCAAACAGTCCTCCTCTGAGCAGTGTCAACAGAGAGCCGGCTGCTTTGTCTGTGCCGAGCCCGATCCGTTGCACCCTGCGCCAGATTGAGCGAGTCCCGTTCCCCATTCATAAAAGTGCCCCGAGCGAGGCGCTGCCCCTCAGATGGAACCGTCGCCTCCAAGCAAGGTCCTGCCCTGCGCTCTCCTGTAACTCGACGTCCGTCCCCGCCTGTGGTGAGGTGAGGCTAAACCGAGACGGGACGGGCTCTGCTGCCACGTGATGCCCGCCTGTGCCCACAACAAACGTGCCGCGGCTTTCACAGCTGGGGATGTTTACTATAATCAGAACCAGAGGGCTTTTTCCTGCCCCCCGCCCCCCATGGCTCATTCCTTCGGGACGCTGGGACCAGCCAAGGGTAAGGGGGGGGGGGTCTGGATGTACCATCTTAGATCAGAATTAAAATTAAAAGAATTCTGGCCTAAACATTAGGAAGAACTTCCTGACAGTCGTAGCGGTTTGGTGTCGTGGTTAAGTGCGTGGACTCTAATCTGGGAGGATCGGGTTTGATTCCCCACTCCTCCACATGCACCTGGCTAGATGACCTTGGGCAAGCCGTGGTTCTGTCAGAGCTGTTCTTGAAAAAAGAGCAGTTTCTGTCAAGAGCTCTCTCAGCCCCACCTTACTTCCCAGGGTGTCTGTTGAGGGGAGGGGAAGGGAAAGGAGTTTGTAAGCCGCTCTGAGACACCTTTGGGTAGTGAAGGGTGGGGTCTAAATCCAATCTCCTCTTCTTCTTTTTCCTCAGTGGAACAGGCTTCCTCGGGAGGCGGTGGGCGCTCCTTCTTGGGAGGTTTTCAAACAGGCTCGACGGCCATCTGACAGCAATGCCGATTCTGTGAACTTGGGCAGATCGTGGGAGGGAGGACAGGAAGGGTTGCACCAATGCTTACTTCTCGTGGCCCTTTCTGACACGCCCGGGGAAATGCAGATCACCACTTTGGGGTCAGGAAGCACTTTTCCTCCAGGCCAGTTTGGCTGGAGATCCTGGAGGAGTTCCCCCCCCTCTCCTGGGCATGGGACAGGGGTCACTGGGGGAGTGAGGGGGTTGGAGCCTTGGGGGTCCCTTCCCACTCTCTGTTTCTTCCTGCACTGTAACAGCAAGACACTGCATTTTGCATAAGACGGGACAGGAAACCTCAGAGACCTGTTTTCTCCTCCTGAAGCAGGCCGTAGAACGGCAGTGTTGCTGCCGGTGGTTTTTCAACCGCCGCTCTCCTGTCTTCAGGGTTATTTCTTTGCCGCAGCCGAAGACAGCAGACACCCTGCATGCAAGCAGAGAGAAAGAGAGACCGAGGGTGGTAAAAGGTAAGCCGGGAGAGGTTTTGTGGAGGAATTTTCTGTGTGTGAGTCTAAGGGAATAATGCTCCCCTTGTGGGTAGGCAGTGGTCCTTTCCACATTTCCCTGCTGCTCCGGATTTTCTCAGTGTTCGGGTTGAGGCAATTTAAGTCCAAGGCAAAAAATAAAAAATAACCCCGGGGCAACAGGAGGCTGAAACTGGGCTGACCACTGAGGAGAGGGAATGTAACGCAGATTGGGGGGAAACCCCAGAATAAAAAGGTTGAACTCAATTTTAGTGTGGATTTTGGGGGTGGGGATGTGGATTAAAAAGAAGGTTGCATTCGATTTTTAGTGCAGAATTGCTTGGAGGACACTATAGTGAACATGGATTACAAGGAGAATGCAGAAAGGCCCTGTGGCCACCAGTGTTCCCTCTAAGCTGAGCTAGTGTGAGCTAGCTCACAGTCTTTTAGCCTCCGGCTCACACATTTTTGTCTTGGCTCAGGAAGGATGGCTCCAGAGCAAACTAACTGATGCAGCAGCCAAATCGCTGGCTCACAACTTTCATCCTGGTCGTTCACAAAGTAGAATTTTTGCTCACAAGACTCCACAGCTTAGAGGGAGCATTGGTGTCCACTGCTAATGGCATATACCTGTTACTTTGTCCAACTGTCCCGAGGTCACAGAGGAAGCGCCATAGCAGAGCATAGCTTTGAGCTGGGCCCGAATCCTACTCCCTCTGCACCAGAGCAAACTGGCTGGTTTTTTTTTTTAAAAGCGTATTTGGCATGCATGATCTAAATTCTAAAATGTCCCTGCAGGGTAGGTCAGTAGGTTTACCCCCCCCCCATCTTGCGTAGCACAAGGAGAGCCCTGCTGGGGTCGACCATCTAGTCCAGCATCCTGTTTCCCTTCAGCATCCGTGTGTCAAGCCCCCCTTGGCAGGCCCACAAGGAAGTCCAGGAAAACACCAACCAGCCTTTAGTAAAATGGATGCTGTGGGTCAATGCTCCCTCTAAGCTGTAAAGCCTTGTGAGCAAGAATTCTACTTTGTGAGCTCCTGGCATTAAAGTTGTGAGTGAGCGGTTTGGCTACTGCGTGAATTAGTTTGCTCTGGAGCCCTCCTTCCTGAGCTGAGACAAAAGTGTGTGAGCCGGAGGCTAAAAACCTGTGAGCTGGTTCGCACTAACTCAGCTTAGAGGGAACACTGGCTGTGGTACGTCTCTCTGGGCGGCTGATCTCAGAGCCACATGAGCGAAACATGAGCAGCTGACTGTATACAAGAACTGGTTTAACAGGCAGGCAGGTGCCGAAGAGGTCCTTCAGAATTTCCCCCTGCGTGACTCTGTGAATTTTTAACTGCTCCTGTGACATTACTGTCGTCACGCATCGAGCACACACTCGTTTTTTAACAAGCAACAGCCAGTGCACGAGAACCTGCAACTGCACTGTGAATTCCCAGCTTTCGTTAACTGCTGCTAGTATCCGGGGCTGGTGGAGGAACATGTCTCGGTGCTGCCCACACACAATGAAACTGTGTCTGTGCACAGCGATGTCATGTTCCTTCTGCGGATGAACTCCTTTCGTCCTTTCTCTCTCTCTCTCTCTCTCTCTCTCTCTCTCTCTCTGCTAATGCGAGAGCGTGGGGCTGCCCACGGGCGCTGATTTGATGGCAGTTTTAGAATTAACTTCACACGGCGTGTGATTAGCACACGGGACTCGCTGCCACAAGATGAGTCGATGACCATTTTCGTAGAGGGCTTTCAGCAAGGATCGGTCACTTGCAGGGGTCATTTCGTGGAAAAAGAGGTGCAGGAGCCCATTAGCATAACTTATTTGCATATGCCACACCCCCTGACATCACCGGAAGTGTGTCAGAAGGCAGCACCCACTGCTCAGGCTCCACTGGACTGTTTTGGATTGCTAGCTATTGGGGGGGGGGAACGGGCAGATCTGTGCTGGCATAGGAGGAAGAGCTTGTACCTGAATAAAACTTGGTCTTAAAGGTGCCACTGGACTGTTTTGGGGTGGGGGGGAGCTCTGCAACTTACTTGCCTGCTTCTTGCTCTGACTGAGGGCTGCTGGGAGCAGGGGGTGGGGCTTGTTGCATGTGCCCGCCCCCTGGGCTCCTTACTGCCGGAGCTCCGCTCCTGTGCGCTCCCGCAGGAAATGACCCCTGGTCACTTGAGAGCAGCGAGGAGAGTTGGATAGAAAAACCCGCACAGAGTGAGAAGACAGGTCGAGATGGGCAGCCGTGTTAGTCCGTTGGTGGCAGGAGAAAAGAGCAAGAGTCCAGGAGCACCTTCAAGACTTGAAGAAGTGAGCAGCGACTCACGAAAGTGCCCACCCTGCCACAGATTTCCTTAGTCTTTAAGGTGCTCCTGGACTTTTGCTCTTGCCTACCGCTCCGCATACCAGGGCAGTGTACTTCCGAGTGGCACAAGGCGGCCCTTGCGCTGCAGCCCCCGTTGTTAGCGTCCCAGAGGCATTTGACGGGCCGCTGTTCCAGGCAGCGTCTGGGACTAGATGGGCCTTGGCCTGGCCCAGCAAAACTGAGCCCGAGTTCTTGCATTGGTTGAATAGTAGTAAGGTCAAGGTTTCCCTGGCTCGAAAGCCAGTCGAATCTGACTCTAGGGGTGCGGTGCTCATCTCCGTTTCCAAGCTGAAGAGCCAGCGCTGTCCGAAGACGTTTCTGTGGTCGTGTGGCCGGCATGACTAGATGCCAAGGCACACGGAACACTGTTCCCTTCCCACCGAAGCCGTACCTATTTGTCTGCTTGCAATGTCTTGCTTTCGAACTGTAATGTATGGCGGTCTGTAGCATCAGTCGTCCTGAGTGGGCGGCTGGGAGTGGAGTGGTTCTGCATGCGATTCATGAGGGTGCTTGAAGAGAGGCAGAGAACCAGGGATCGGGGGAGCCTGTCAACTTTCCAATCGGTTTCTCTTGTTTGCCCGGCCAGTGTGTGAACAGAGCAGCCAAGGTCAGCTGTAAAGGGAAACAGAGGCGGGGAGGATCGCCAGACAACTTAGTGACAGGATGTGCGTCCCTCTGTTCCATCAGTCAGTCCTCACTTTTCCACAGCTATGTAGCCCTGCTTGCATGGAGGGATACGGAGACTCATCCTTGCGCCTTCTCAATAATTTCTGTGCAGTGTGCCTCAAATCCTTGTGCGCGACCCAGACACGGGAATGTTTTCTGCCTCGAGCGTGCTTGCTTTCTGAGAGTGGGGGCCATAACCAAAGCCCCAGATTCAGATCTTGCACCCCTACTCCTCACTCTCAAACTAAAGAGCCAGTTTGGTGTAGTGGTTAAGTGTGTCGACTCTAATCCGGGAGAGCCGGGTTTGATTCCCCACGCAGCTGCTGGTGTGACCTTGGGTCAATCATAAGTTCTCTCTAAGCTGTTCTCTCAAGAGCATTGCAGTGTTCCCTCTAAGTTGAGTTAGTGTGAGCTAGCTCACAGTTTTTTAGCCTCTGGCTCACACATTTTTGCCTTAGCTCGGCAATGACGGCTCCCAAGCAAACGAATTCATGCAGTCACCAAATGGCTCCCTCACAATTTTAATGCCAGTCGCTCACAAAGTAGAATTTTTGCTCACAAGACTCCACAGCTTACAGGGAGCATTGCTCACAGGTTGTCTGTTGTGTGGAGGGGAAGGGAAAGGAGATTGTAAACTGCTCTGAGTGAAGGATGGGGTATAAATCCAATCTCTTCTCCTCCTCCTCTCAGCTGTTCTCTCAAGGGCAGTTCTCGAGAGAGCTCTCTCAGCCCCACCTACCTCACAGGGTGTCTGTTGTGGGGAGGGGGAGGGAAAGGAGATTGGAAGCTGCTCCGAGACTCCTTCGGGTAGTGAAGGGCGGGGTATGAATCTCTTCTTCTTCTAAACAAAGGCCCAAAATGTCATTCTTTCATGAACCTTCCTTTTCTTATTTAGCACGTTTGTCTGCTGCGTTTCCATCCACAGAACACCCACCCAAGGGGCTTCACGTTCTGTACAAACATGCAGTAATCAGCAAGGCGGGTGTTACTGCTGTTTTGATTGTGTCGTGGGGCTGAGACTATGGCGTCCCTCTCCCCAGCTTCTAGAAAAGGGCATGTGTGGAGTGCAGTACCGTTGAGACCAGTGTTCCCTCTAAGCTGAGTTAGTGTGAGCTAGCTCACAGTTTTTTAGCCTCCGGCTCACACATTTTGTCTTGGCTCAGGAAGGATGGCTCCGGAGCAAACTAATTGATGCAGTAGCCAAATTGCTCGCTCACAACTTTAATGCCGGGAGCTCACAAAGTGGAATTTCTGCTCACAAGACTACAAAGCTTAGAAGGTGCGTTGGTTGAGACCTCTGGGTAAGCCACCGTCCTCTCAGCTTCCTTCCGCAGGATGGCAGATGAGAACGTCGGCTTCCCTCTTCCAGACAATTAAAATGTGGCACAGAAATTCAGGGGTTCTGTATACTGCTCCCTCTGGTTGCAGACCCAGGAGGAAAGCAGCGTCCTGGATCTGCCCATCAGGCTGTGTGTGTGTGTGTGAAGTCTGCTTTTCGCTGCGTGGAGCTGATTCTGCTGTGGCTGACCCCCAGGGTGGCAAAGCTGTCCCCCCCCCCGCCCTCCTCCTGTCTTGACTCTTGAATCATAGAATGTTAGAGTTGGAAGGGACCTTGCAGGTCATCTAGTCCAACCCCCTGCACTCTGCAGGAGCATAGCCAAAAGATAGCCCTACAACATATCCGAAAGATGGTTGTCCAGCGAACGTAGGTACCTCTAAACATGAGCCTGCAGTGCGATGTGACCGCGAAGACAGCTAATGCAATCTTAGGATGCATTAAGAGAAGAAGCCTTGTGTCCAGATCATGGGAGGTGGTAGTTCCGCTGGGTGGGATTGCTAATTCTGAAGAGTCAGGATTCAAAATGATCTAGATAGGCTGGAACAGTGGGCTGAGACAAATGAAATGGATTTCAATAGAGATAAGTACCTACACTTAGGTACAAAAAATCAAAGGCACAGATATAGAATGGGAGGGACTTGGCTTGACAGCAGCACATGTGAAAGGGATCTAGGTGTTCTGGTTGATCACAAGCTAAACATGAGCCAGCAGTGCGATCTGACTGCGAAGAAAGCTAATGCAATCTTAGGATGCATTAAGAGAAGCCTTGTGTCCAGATCACGGGAGGTGGTAATTCCGCTCTATTCTGCTATGGTCAGGCCTCACCTGGAGTCCTGTGTCCAGATTTGGGCACCACATTTTAGGATGGATGTTGACAAGCTCGAGCGTGTCCAGAAAAGGGCAACCAGGATAGTGAGAGGGCTGGAATCCAAGTCTTATGGGGAAAGGCTGAAAGAGTTGGGTCTGTTTAGCCTGGGAAAGAGAAGGCTTAGAGGGGACAGGATTGCAGTCTTCAAGTATCTGAAGGGCTGTCATGCAGATGATGGAGCAGATCTATTCTCTCTTGCTCCAGATTGCAAGACTAGATCTAATGGGTGGAAATTACAAGGGAGTCGATGAAAACATCCAGCAAATGAGAGGTACAAATGCGTCGCCTAGGTGGCTCTCCGTGGAGCCTTGACAGGCTTTTTGGAAGGGAAAAAAAATTGAGATTTTTGGGGAAACTGAATTCCATGACAGTTATCAAATTTTAGGCCAGTACAGAGTGATCAGCAACACATATGCATCAAGAAACAAACCAGCATGATAGCATCCAGCAAATGTATGGCCCTGGTGACATTAGCTCCATAACTCCCTTATTTAACTGAACTGCACTATTCAGAATTTTCCTCTGCATAAGGACTAGAAACTTGCTGGGTTTTCATGTGGCCCATTAACTCTTTGGCGGGCTGCTTCGTGGGCTTCCGTGCTGCACAGCGCACCTTCTCAGGCGGGGTTCCCCAACGTTTCTGAGCCTGTGGGCTCCTATGGGATTTGGAGGCAGGGTGGCAGGTGCCAATGCTCCCTCTAAGCCATGGAGTCTTGTGAGCAAAAATTCTACTTAGTGAGCAACTGGCATTAAAGGTGTGAGCCAGCGATTTGGCTGCTGCATAAATTGGTTTGCTCTTCTGGAGCCATCTTCCCAGAGCGAAGACAAAAAGGTGTGAGCCGGAGGCTAAAAGACTGTGAGCTAGCTCACACTAACTCAGCTTAGAGGGAACACTGGCACGTGCCACTACAAAATGGCTGCCACAAGGTGCAGAGCCAAGCACCCACAAAAGAGGAAATGGGATGGGGAATAGAAACACATATATGAAAAAGTACAAATATTTATTAAGGTGTACACGTGTTAAAACTTTCCTGATTAAAAATTGCTTTGTCTAAAATCAGACTGTAAAAGCTTGTCCACTTTACATACAAATGATGGATAAAAACTTTACAACCAAAGACCCTAAGGGCCTTCCTCAGTGGTCACTATTATCTATATATTCTGGTCACTATTATCTATATATTCTAGACACACATTCAAAGACCTGTTACAGAATTCTAGTAGCCATATAATTAAACCAGATGTTGTTTCCTGAAATTGTTCAAAGAAAAATAAAGGGGGGGGGAGAGAAACATCTTCATTATTTTGTCCAAATGTATAAAGGAAACCATTATTAAATTAAAAAAAGATTCTATTAAAGAAACACACACACGTGAAGGAGAATAACACGCAAGGGAGGAATAACATGCAAGATCTTCAGGGTATGCTTTAGAGATTCATATATACCGTGGGCCAATGTTCCCTCTAAGCTGTGTAGTCCTGTGTGCAGAAATTCTACTTTGTGAGCAACTGGCGTCAAAGTTGTTGTGAGTGAGCTATTTGGCTACTGCACAAATTAGTTTGCTCTGGAGCCATCCCTTCCTGAGCGAAGACAAAAATCTGTGAGCCGGAGGCTGAAAAACTGAGCTAGCTCACACTAACTCAGCTTAGAGGGAACACTGCTGTGGGCTAGGACTCTTTCAGAGAGGTGGCTTGATATTACCTGCCTCTGCATCCTAGCCCTGGTATTCCATGGTCCTGCCTCCACAGCGACCCTTCTGGCTTTCCTGAGGCACATGGGCAAGTGCCCATGGGGACCACGTTGGAGAACCCTGTTCTAAAGGTCGATGGGGGGGGGGAAGCAGGCACTATTGTTCGTGCCACGTAGAGGCACACCCGGGACAAAACCAATTCTCACCCCACCATTTGAACAGCAGAAGAACACAAGTTTCTTTCACGGTGCTGTTCCCTGGCAACTACCAGGCGTTTGGCTGGTCCTGTTCTGAGCCTGTGCCGTTTTTTCTTTGGGGGGGGCCCCTTTCTCCTGCAGCTTGTTTCTCCCAAGTGATGCTCGTCTAAGCGAGGGCGATGTCTGCCTATCTGAAGCACTTCACGGTGGTGGGTGACGATCCTGCGCAGTGGAACAATGACTACAAGAAGTGGGAGGAAGAAGAGATGGAGGAGGAGAGCGAAGGGAAGCCGGCCGAGTCGGCCATCAAGATGGACCCGGCGCCCAGGCCCCCCACTTTCCGGGAGGTGATGAGGAAGCTGTTCCAGTCGCACCGGTTTCAGGTACGGGTGTGTGTGTGTGTGTCCGTCCGGAAGGCTTGATGCCTTCACCAGACTGGGACGCATCCCCCCCACATCGAGAATGGGCCGTTTCCTTCTGTGACCCTTCCTTGAAAAAAACTCAGCAGCTTCTCCTGGCGGGGAGGGATCTCACTTGAGCTTCAGGATGACCCTTCGCCAGACAGGGAGTCGCTCAAGACCAAAGAGTGATGAACACACAGAATTCACTGCCACAGAAGGTGGTGGCGGCTACAAGCATGGACGGCTTCTAAAGGGAATTAGATAAGCATATGGAGCAGAGGTCCATCAGTGGCTCTTAGCCACAAGGTGTAGATAGGGGCTCTGGGGCAAGGGATGCTCTGTCTTCTTGGTGCTTGGGGGGGGGTCAACAGTGGGAGGGGCTTCTAGTGTCCTGGCCCCGCTGCCCGACCTCCTGATGGCACCTGATATTTTTGGCCACTGTGTGACACAGAGTGTTGGACTGGATGGGCCACTGGCCTGATCCAACATTGGCTTCTCTTACGTTCTCTTATGTTCTTAATCCTCCCCTTCCCACCAAGGTGTGCCTCACCGTGCAAGCTTTCCTCTCCTCTTCCCACCTGGCCAAACGACTCACCTCAGTCTGCCTCCAAGAGTCACATATGCCTAGTTTGTCCATGCAGGAGAATAAGCTAGTAGGATGGACTGCGGGGGGGGGGGGGGGGGCGACCCTGTACTTTGGAACATTCCCCTGCTTTTAAAAATCCCTCGCAAACAGCAAGCTAGCAGACAGGGACGGACTCTTTCTTCCTTCTGTGCTCGTTTTCTGTTTGCATGAGAGACCCTGTGCAACAACGAATAAAAATCGAAGCTGGGATCCGTCGCCAGCAGTCCATCCAACCAGCCCCTGGCACTCCTGCGATCTCATCCGCCTGCGTGGGTGAGCCTGGCCTTGGCTACACACCAAGGGGCTAGTCCCCTTGGCCGGAGGGCCTCCGTCCAGCCAGCAAGCGTGTCAAGGCCCCCTTTGGCCTTGAGTGCCCAGGAACAATTCAGGCACCCGAGACGGTGGCCCTCCTGGGACACACAGGGGATATCGGCACTCTTCCTCCTTCGCTGCACCTCTTCCCCTGCGGAGGAGTGTCGGGGCAAGGGAGTGTGGGGCACATGGGCCATAGGGGAGCTCTGTGGCTCAGCCCCACGGAGATCAGAGCTGGGAGTGGATCTGCTTGGCAGGCAGGAGGTCTCCGCTTCAGTCCTTGGCATCGCCAGTTCAGGATCAGGCAGTAAGTCCTGGGAAAGATCTGCCCATTGGATCCCGGAGAGCCACCAGCAGTCTGAGGAAACAGTAGGACCAGTGGTCTGATTCTGTAGAAGGCAGCTTCACGTGTGGGTCTCACGGCCACCCCAGGAGCCTATGGGGGGGGGAGAGTTTGTTTGAAACTTAATAAAATGCTGACAGTCCTCCCCCCATCTCTTCCCCTGTCGACATACTGAACTTGACTTCAACATCTGCTAATTCGTTCGAGGATTTAAAAAAAACAGCCACCCAAACACGCTTGCTTGAAGTTAACGCCCGGCTTGTTTTCCCCTTTACGGTCTAGATCTTGATTGTCTGTTTAGTGATCCTGGATGCCGTGCTGGTCCTGGGGGAGCTGCTTTTGGACTTGAAGATCATCCATCCGGACAAACACGAGATCGCGCCCGAGGTAAAGGGGGCCTGGGGGCTTGCGTGGTCGGGGCAGTGTGCGTGCGGCCGGCACAAAGCCCACTTCCACGTCACACGGGGAAGGGTAGCCCTGACCTGGATGGACCGGGCTAGGCTGGCCTCGTCAGATCTCAGAAGCTAAACAGGGCTGGCCCAGGTCAGCATTTGGATGGGAGACCCACCAAGGAATCCCAGGGCTGCTCCGCAGGGGCAGGCAGTGGCAAACCCGCCTCTGAAGGTCTCTTGCCTTGGAAACCCTACAGGGTTGCCGTAAGTCGGTTGTGACCTGATGGCACTTTCCACGGCCACCGCCGGGGATGGCGAGTTTCCAGTCCTTCATAGCTGCAGAGACATGACCGATGCCTCCTGAAATCTCAAGTCCGAGCGGTTTATAGAATCACAGAGCTGGAAGGGGCCATGCGGTCCGACCCCCTGCTCAGTGCGGGATCAGCCTAGAGCAGTGATGGCGAACCTTTTAGAGACCGCGTGCCCAAACTGCGACCCAAAACCCACGTATTGATCGCAAAGTGCCAACACGGCAATTTAACCTGAATACTGAGGTTTTGCTTTAGAAAAAACAACTCCTACATTAACTTAAGATGATCCAAACAAAGTAAGGAAAGCAATCCCAAATGCTCTCATTTACTTAACATTATTTGGCAGAGAATTCGACATTTTAACTTAAGATGATCCAAACAAAGTACATAAGAACATAAGAGATGCCAATGTTGGATCAGGCCAAAGGCCCATCCAGTCCAACACTCTGGGTCACACAGTGGCCAGAAATACCAGGTGCCATCAGGAGGTCCACCAGTAAGGAAAGCAATCCCAAAGGCTTTCATTTACTTAAAATTATTTGGCAGAGAATTCGACACTTTAATGATGGCCTGGGCCTGGCTGGGGCGATGGCACGCGTGCCCACAGAGAGGGCTCTGAGTGCCACCCGTGCCATAGGGTCGCCACCACTGGCCTAGAGCATCCCTGACGATTGTCCAGCCGCTGCTTAAAGACGGCAAGTGAGGGGGAGCTCACCACCTCCCCAGGCAGCTGAACGTGGTTTCCATGGGGGCGGGGCTTCGGTGTCACTGCCCTGCACAAGCAGAGTAAGTTATGCGGTCCAGCAAATGTTTGCTTGAGCTGCGTGATGTGCATAGGCTGCGGACGCTGACCTGGGTTTGCCTGGGGGTAGAGCTTTTCAAGCACGCGGTGTGTTGGTCTGCATCGGGACCCCGTGTTTGCCAGCCACAACCCAGAGAGGAAATAAGCAAACAAAGTATGGTACACGGTATATGGATATTACACTACACGGGGATTGTTACTGTGATAAGTGCGCTAAACTAAAGAATACAGTACTACAAAAATCAGAAAGTATATGCTGTTTAAATAAATTAAAGTGATTTGCTTTTTTTACAAAGTTGAAATACAAAAGTACAGTCAGTTTCAAATAAACAAGTGGTTTTTAACGAAGCAGATGATGTTGGTTTTTAACGAAGCACATGGTTAACGACGTGCCACAGAATGTCCTGTGTCGTTTCGACGTTCCTTCTTCTGAACAAGGTTCTATAGATAATTTCCATTTTTTCCTCTCATCTATAAGGGTAGAAATGAAGCCTGATGCGCACATATTTTTTCTTCATAGGTCAATAACAAAGCACAATTACTAGAAGAAAATTCATTTTGGGTGAGTTACAATCAAACGTGCTTTGTTATTGACCTATGAAGGAAAAACATGTGAGCGTCAGGCTTCATTTCTACTCTTATAGATGAGACAAAAAACTGGAAATTATTTATAGAATCTTGTTCAGAAGAAGGAATGTCGAAACGACACAGGATATTCTGCAGCACGTCGTTTACATCATTTGCTTCATAAAAACCAACATCATTTGCTTCGTTGAAAACCACTTCTGTTTATTTGAAACTGACTGTATTTTTGTATTTCAACTTTGTAAAAAAAAGCATATCACTTTATTTAAACGGCAAATATTTTCTGTTGTTTGTAGTACTGTATTCTTTAGTTTAGCGCACTTATCACAGTAGCGCACTTATCACAGTAACAATCACTGTGATAAGTGCGCTAAACTAAAGAATACGTTTCTGCCTTGTTGCCTCCGCTTCCCCGGCAGGTCTTCCACTACCTGAGCCTCTCCATTCTAACCCTCTTCCTGGTGGAGGTGAGCTTCAAAATCTTTGCCTACCGCCTGGAGTTCTTCCACCATAAGTTTGAAGTCCTGGACGCCCTTGTGGTCATCATTTCGTTCATCCTCGACATTGTGGTCCTCTTCCTGAAGCACGATTTTGAAGCGTTCGGGCTGCTGATCCTGCTGCGGTTGTGGCGGGTGGCCAGGATTATCAACGGTGAGTCCTGTGGCTGGAAGGGTGACCTTCGGCAGACGGAACTGTGTGCCCGGTTGCTCGGCCCGAGTGTGCCCACACCCCATGTGCAGTAGCTCCAAGGAGAGGTACTTCCATACCCAGCTGTGGGGTCTTGTGAGCAAAAATTCTACTTTGTGAGCAACTGGCATTAAAGTTGTGAGCGAGCGATCTGACTACTGCATAATTCAGTTTGCTCTGGAGCCCTCCTTCCTGGGGTAAGGCAGAAATGTGTGAGCCGGAGGCTAAGAAACTGTGAACTAGCTCAGCACTAACTCAGCACTGCTCTGGAGCCCTCCTTCCTGAGCTAAGGCAGAAATGTGTGAGCCGGGGGCTAAGAAACTGTGAGCTAGCTCACCACTAACTCAGCTTAGAGGGAACACTGCTCTGGAGCCCTCCTTCCTGAGCAAAGGCAGAAATCTGTGAGCTGGAGGCTAAAAAACTGTGAGCTGGCTCACACTGACTCAGCCTAGAGGGAACACTGCTCGGGTCTGTGATTCAGACTCCGCCTCTGACAAGTCTTGCTTTCCCGGTGGCGTCTGTTCCTCGTCTGTAAACCAGGCAGCCTGGCGATCTCCCTTTCCTGACGGCTGTGGGGGCTCGAGGTTTATAAAGCCCTTCTGAAAGGGGTCCACGAAAGGGGGTCCTTTGGGTCTGGCCCACAGGCCTCCATAACCATCTGCCCTCTGAATCCCTCCCCAGGAATCATCCTGTCGGTGAAGACGCGCTCCGAGCAGCAAGTGTCCAAGCTGAAGCAAGCCAACCTGCAGCTCACCACGAAGGCCCAGCAGCTGGAGAACAGCTGTGCAGAGAAGGTAAGAGCAGCCCCCTTGGCAGGCGCGGCCCGTGGAGACTCGATGCAGCGGGAGCCTCTGGAAGCCGGGATGGGAACAGCGCTCTTTGTTTAGTGTGGATCTCGGTGGCATCGCGTTAGGACTAGGCATGGTGGGATCTACTCTACCCTCTCTCAGGAGCCTCAGAGAAGAAACGAGGACCCCCCCACACACACACACCTTTTCCCCTGGCATGAAGTCCAGTAGGGAACAAATAAGGTAAAGGCAAAGAGCCAGTTTGGTCTAGTGGTTAGGAGCACGGACTCTAACCCGGGAGAAATGGGTTTGATTCCCCACTTCTCCATATGCAGCTGCTGGTGTGACTTTGGGTCAGTCACAAGCTATGTCGGAGCTGTTTCATCTGGAAAGAGCTCTCTCGGCCCCCACCTACCTCACAGGGTGTCTGTTGCGGGGAGGGGAAGGAGTTTGTAAGCCGCTCTGAGACTCCTTCGGGTAGTGAAGGGCGGGGTATAGATCAGATCTTTTCTTCTTCTTCCATTGGCTGCCCATCAGTTACCGGGATCAGTTTAAGGTATTGGGTATCACATACAGAGCCTTAGCGCCCGTTATTTGCAGAGCTGCCTCTTTAGTTCCTGTAGATTTTCCGGGATGTGTGGCTGTGGTCTTGGCATTGTAGAACCTGACATTTCACCAGTAACTGTGACTGGCACCCTCAGAGGTATAAACACAGAAAGATGGGAGTACTCTCTGTGTCAAGCTGCCCCTGTGCTCTGCCACGGCAATTCCGTTTAAGCCCTCAGGGACGTCTGCGGGTGCCAAAATCAACAACTGCCTTTGCCCCTGCGCTTTCTTGTTTTGCCTCCTCTCTTGTGGAATGGCCTGCCCGAGAAGCTCCGGAAAGCTTCCGCTCTCCTGGCTTTTTGCAAACTATGCAAAACTGAGCTATTCAAGAGGGCTTTTCTGTGCAGGTAAACTGGGCTGCACTGAACAAACCGGTTCGCAGACTTACCTGGATTGGGACTGTGGTCTATACTGCTGCGTAGGACTTACTGTCAGCAGGCTCCTATTTGTGCAATTTTGGGACCGCTTACTGAATTACATTAATATTTATACTTCAGTTCCTTCTGCTGGTCCTAGAGTCCTATAAGTAACATAAATACATACCAGGTGTGGAAGGGATTGCCCATAAATACAAACTGCACGAAAGGAATAAGCACAGCAAGAAAACAGGATGTGGTGGGTGATATCAGTAAACAGCCCCAGATTAACCAGGGGCTTCCCCCTCCCTCCTCCTCATCAGCTTACAGCTGCAAGACCTGCCTCTTAAAACAAGCCTAATGTGCAGTGAAAAGTGATCTTGAAAAGCAATGTGGTCCTCTCTGGGATGTACAGTTAAGCATGTCTCTAACTACACACAAGTCCAGGGGCACCTTTAAGACGAACAAAGTTTAATACTGGGTATAAGCGTTCGTGTGCATCCACACCTCTTCCGGTACAGAGAAACATGTCCTCAACTGTTACATGTAGGTGTGTGGGGGTTAGTTGCCAGGGAGGACTAGTTAAGAGTCAAGATGCATAAGTAACTGGGCGTTAAGCGTAGCTGAGATTGGGTTAAAGCAGTTGGTACGACCTGTGAATAGCAGCAAATAGGCATACCGATAATAAAAGAGTTAATAGAGGTGAGAACGAAGTTTGAGTCCAGTGGCGCCTTTAAGGCCAACAAGTCTTAGCATATGTAGTGAGATAACTGCAAGTCGGGACAATGGAACCCCCAGGCCTTGAGATATCAGGTTCTTATCTCACTACACTTCTGTTTGTTAGCTAATGCAATCTTAGGATGCCTTAACAGAAGCCTTGTGTCCAGATCATGGGAGGTGGTAGTTCCGCTCTATTCTGCTAGGGTGAGGCCTCACCTGGAGTCCTGTGTCCAGTTTTGGGCACCACATTTTAGGAAGGATGTTGAGAAGCTCGAGTGTGTCCAGAAGAGGGCAACCAGGATGGTGAGAGGGTTGGAATCCAAGTCTGACGAGGAAAGGCTGAGTTGGGTATGTTTAGCCTGGGAAAGAGAAGGCTTAGAGGGGACATGATTGCAGTCTTCAAGTATCTGAAGGGCCGTCATGTAGAAGATGAAGCAGATCTATTCTCTCTTGCTCCGGATTGCAAGACTAGATCTAATGGGTGGAAATTACAAGGGAGTCGTTACCAGCCAAATATCAGGAGAAACTTCCTAACAGAGTGGTTGAGCAGTGGAACAGTCTGCCTCGGGAAGGGGTGGATGCTCCTTCGCTGGACGTTTTCAAACGGAGGCAGGACGACCATCTTTCGGATATGTTGTAGGTATGTAGGGCTATCTTTTGGCTGTGCTCCTGCCGAGTGCAGGGGGTTGGACTAGATGACCTGCAAGGTCCCCTCCAACTCTAACATTCTGTGATTCTAACTCTTTTGTGGCAGTCTCGTCCACGTCCATTGTATTTGAAGAAGTGTGCATGCGCACGAAAGCATATACCCAGAATTAAACCTGTTGGTCTTGATGGGCTCAGACTTTGCTCTGTTGCTTCAGACCAACACAGTTACCCACCTGAATCTAACTACACATGAATGTGAGAAAGGGCAACCCGGGCATAGCAGCGAAGGGTGTGGATAATGCATGCTAGTTCTGCCTTGCTTTGGGGGAGCTGGGATGGACAGACCACAAGTTTACTGCGTCAGGCATCCCTGATAATGTCTAAAGGTCTGCCTGCCCCCATCCATCCGCTTGCGTCGTAGAGAGCAAACGGCTGTCAGGCAGTGTAATTTATAGAGTGGCTTTGTTCATTGTTGTAGCACATTGACACAGAAATGTTACTTTTTCTTTTAATCCCGTCCCAAATCCTCTTGATTTATTAACACAGGCCTGTTTTTCCTGTTCTGTCTCATCACTGTCATTTGAAAAACTGTTTAAAGTCTGCCGTGACCTCTGGGCTGAATGATAAAATGTGACGTCATTCGTGAAGCCACGGATGCAGCTGCGGGCTGGGGGCAGCGCCTCTCCCCGCGTTCCCGAATCTCAGCCGATGCAGAAACCTGATGGCCTTGTTTCTTTCCTTCTCCGACAGGAGCTGGAAATCGAGAGGCTCACCGATATCCTGAAGCAGCACGGCCTCATCGTCGAGCAGTCGCGGTAGGCGGCCGGATCCTGCCCCGGCCGTCTGCTCCGGGCCCGCGGACCAAACCTTCTCCCAGGCTGGGATGTTTTGAAGACCACCCTTTTTGTACATTCGCCGTGTTGGTCTGCAGGTGGAGCCGATCCTTCTGGCTCCTGGAGACATTTTTCGGTGTGTTGCAGAGGAGGCCTCTCCGGTAGGCAGCTGTAAAATAGGGCATGCTTACGCGGCCACTGTGCCGACCTTTAATTGTACAGTGGTATAGTTTAAAAAGGATGACAAATTATTTAATAAAGTCTGATCCATGTAGAAGAATGAGCCTGATTCAGAAGCGGCGGGCTACCATCCCCCAAAAGGGGAGGTCTGACGCAGAGAGAGGGGCAGCTGCCGGGGACTTTCTCCAGTCCTTTTGTTGCTGGGAGGGCTTCCTTGGAGCATCTGGAATACCGCTTCCCCCTGCAGGCCAGCACTCGCAGCTGTTCCCCAACTCATTTCCGGGCGGGGGGGGGGGCAGTGTTCCCTCTAAGCTGAGTTAGCATGAGCTGGCTCACAGTCTTGTAGACTCCGGCTCACACATTTTTGTCTTCGCTCAGGAAGGATGGCTCAAGAACAAACTGATTTATGCAGCAGCCAAGCCACTCACTTACAACTTTAATTCCAGTAGCTCCCAAAGTAGAATATTTGCTCACAGGACTCCACAGCTTAGAGGGATCATTGAGTAGGGCAGCGCAGGATGGGTTCCAAGCAATGCTCCCTCTGAGATGTGGAGTCTTGTGAGCAAGAAATTCTACTTTGTGAGTTACCGGCATTAAAGTTGCAAGTGAGCGATTTGGCTGCTGCATAAATTAGTTTGCTCTGGAGCCCTCCACCCTGAGCGGAGACAGAAATGTGTGATCTGGAAACGAAAAAACTGTGAGCTGGCTCACACTGACCCAGCTTAGAGGGAACACTGGTACCAAGTACCATCGTTAAGGCTCAGAAAGTACAATCCGTTTTCGAGCATCTAATCCTCACGGTTAGACAAACAGGAGGAGAGCAAGAACACTTCACAAACAGTCAAGAGTAAGTATGTTCCCCCACCCCACCTCCGAGGCAGCATACTCCGACTCACAAAAGGCAAATGACCCCCTAACAACAATTTGTATTGACAAACAGAGAGGACCTCTTTTCCCCACTCCCTTTGTTCCGTGCCGGGAAGGGGATTCTAATCCGCCTCCGTGAGCTCGGGGAGCCGGAGGGAAACGGACGGGTTTGCAGGCCTTGCTGAAGGTTTTCAGCGGCGGCGCGGGAGTGGTGTCCGGCGTGTGTTCTAAAGCATGGTGTCTTCTTGAATGCTCGGACCACCTCTGATGTGGGAGGGGGACCTTTCGGGGGCAAGTGCCTCCATGTCCAAATCACTTCCCTGAGCAAAAGATGGAGCTGCACACTGCGGAAGAGAAGGGCTGGTGTGATGTGGAAGACAAGAGTGGGGAGACGGATCCAGGCTGGCCGGCTGCAATCCCTCGCTCGGCCGTGGAAACCTGCCAGGTGACCTTGGGCCTGTTGCCATCTCTCGGCCTGACCTCCTCTCAGAGGGTGGTGGTGGTGGAGATTGAGGGGAGGACCGTGCGAAAAGCCACTGATCAAAACCCTGGTCAAGGGGAAAAGCGGGATATCAATCAATCAATCAATCAAAGACGGAAAGCCTGCTGCTTCCTCCTAAATAGGCACAGGAGAGCCAGGAAACTGAACCGTGGTGGCCGACTGGACAGAGGCCTGCGGGCTGCCAGAGCTGTCTCTGCGGGAGCTGGCATTCTGGATTTTAAAAATGTTCACAGCCACAGCAAGGAACCTGCGCACAGCTTGCAGTGTTCACATCCCACAGGCCTGGTTGGCAACTCGTTTCCCCCACGAGGGTGCCGGAGTGCCAGTCGGGGGACCTCCGAGGATGGCAGATGAGGGTGGGTCAGACTGCTTGGGGGTGGGGCACAGGTAAGCTCCGTGCCGGCACCGTTTCTGCTCCCTGCAGAGAAAGGAAACAAAAGCCCCGGAGCGGGGAGGGCCTGTTCAATTCCCCATGCTCCCATTGGGAGGAACTGTCCACGGCGTTTCTTGCAGTGACATCTGATGAGCCGCTGTCCTCTCCTGCGAACAGAGAGAATGAAAATGAAGGCCCAGGTGTAGAGCAGGGCTCAAGACCCATGTTCCCTCTAAGCTGTGGAATCTTGTGAGCAAAAATTTTACTTTGTGAGCTGCTGGCATTAAAGTTGTGAGTGAGCGATTTGGCTGCTGCATCAATTAGTTTGCTCTGGAGCCATCCTTCCTGAGCTAAGACAAAAAGGTGTGAGCCGGAGGCTAAAAAACTGTGTGCTAGCTCACACTTAACTCAGCTTAGAGGGAACACTGCTCAAGACCCATGTTCGACAACACGTGTAAAACAATCCGGGGGGGGGGGGGGGAAGGGCCAGCACGTACAATCAGATTGGGAGGGTCCTGGCAGGGGGGAAAGCGCCATCTTACTTCCCACACAGGGTTTCTTCCTTTAACATTCTCAGCAGATCAGAACATGGCGGCTGGTCCCATATTTAAAAGGGAGGGGAGCAATGCTCCCTCTAAGCTGTGGAGTCTTGAGAGCAAAAATTCTACTTTGTGAGCTGCTGGCATTAAAGTGGTGAGCGAGCGATTTGGCTGCCGCATAAATCAGTCTGCTCTGGAGCCGTCCTTCCTGAGCCAAGACAAAAAACTGTGAGCCGGAGGCTAAAAAACCGTGAGCTAGCTCACACCTAACTCAGCTTAGAGGGAACACGGGCAAGGAGGAATGGTCTCTCAGTGGCAGCAAGTGGCAGGACTTGGTTTGTCATGCAAAGAGCCAGGGCCTCCGTGTCCTTCGACTCGGCTCGGCTTGACTCCGTGTAGGGCAGAGGGTCGTGTGGGGCAGACCTCCGACCCTGACCTGGATGGCCCCGGCTAGCCCAACCTTGTCGTATCTCGGAAACTAAGCAGGGTCGACCCTGGGCAGTCCTCGGAGGGGAGCAGCGCTCCCTCTAAGCTCTGGGTTCTTGTGAGCAAAAATTCTGCTTTGTGAGCCGCTGGCATTAAAGCTGTGAGTGAGCGATTTGGCTCCTGCATACATTAGTCTGCTCTGGAGCCCTCCTTCCTGAGTGGAGACAAAAATGTGTGAGCCAGAGGCTAAAAAACTGTGAGCTAGCTCACACTAACTCAGCTTAGAGGGAACGCTGGATGGGAGACCCCCCCCCCCCGGAAGACCAGGGTTGCAGGGGCGGATGAAGGCTCACGGGTGCCCTCAGCACTGACCAATCTTGGTGCCCCCCCCTTTCCACACTGACCTCCAGTCCGTTTTAGTGGTTGACCTGTCTGACCAGATAGACAATGCAGGTTGCAGCGATACAAAAATCTATCCACACGATAACACAATATACTGGACAAACTAAGCTTTTCACCCTTTCCCCAACTTTGTGGCACCCCCTTTGGCCCTGGCGTCCTAAGCACCTGCTTAGTCTGCTTCACGGTTAATCCGCCCCTGCAGGGGTGCTGCGCAGAGGCAGGCCATGGCAAACCCCCTCTGTCCCTCTCCGGCCTTGAAAACCCCACCAGGGGTCACTGTAAGCCGGCTGTGATTGGACGGCACTTCCCGCCCCCTCCAGCCTTGTCCCTCCTTAGAGGCTTCGCCCTCCTTGGATTTGATTGGCCCTGACTTGACAGGCAAAGTGGCCGTGCTTGGAGCGAGACTCGGGATCACGTCGTCCTTTGGGCAAGGTCCTTCCCAGCCTCGCCTCAGATCGAAAGACGGCTCCTCCCCCTCGGCGCAAACTGAGCCGTGCCGCTCCGGCTCTGCACTTACTCTAAACGAAAGGGAAGAAGAAGTCAAACGGCAGCTTGGCCTCGACGGCTGGCCTCGACCTGTAGCCTGGCTCGGCCGCCGCAGAAACATCGACAAACGTCACGGTGCTTAGGATCGGAATGGTTCTTTCGCTCCCTGGATCGCCCTGCGAGAGACATATGAACGGATACAATAATTACTAGTTGGATACTGTGCGGGGCAATGGAGAAGCCGACTGGCGCAAGCACACTGACCTCACTATTCGTGTCTTGCTCGGCTCCTCTGATAACAAATGTCCCCCCCAGGATCTGCACATCTGAGGAAACTGGAGGACCGGCGGTGTTTGACGTATGCCAAGCAATGCTCCCTCTAAGCTGCGGAGTCTTGTGAGCAAAAATCCTACTTTGTGAGCGACTGGCATTTAAGTTGTGAGCCAGTGATTTGGCTACTGCATAAATCAGTTTGCTCTGGAGCCATTCCTTCCTGAGCTATGACAAAACTGTGCGCCGGAGGCTAAAAAACCTGTGAGCTAGCTCAGACTAACTCAGCTTAGAGGGAGCACTGGTGCCAAGCCCTTGTCAGGTTGCCGGTACGTCCCACCCTGCTTTCACTCTGTAGGTTCCTCCTCCCAAGCTCATTTGAACCTGCTCTCCCTTAGCCCAAAACTAAGGCAGGCTTTATTGGTTTGAAATCCAGTGTACATTACTGAAGTTACTGAGACAATTGATATCCCACCCTTCCCAAATCTGCTCAGGTCAGCTGCTTCCAATCATGCCAGCTCAAAGAGAGTTCAACTTGGCACGATGCAGCTGCATGGGTGCAATTTTACTGAGCACCAGGTTTAAAGATTATTATGCCAAAATGCAAGCCTATTTTGCTCTATTAAAGGAGAAAAGAGTGGAAGAGACAGAAGCGACGGTGGAGCAACACTGCTAGAGAATCTCAGCTTTCAGGTTTGCTTTCTGGAGAAAAAAGTTTCCGGTCCTCATGAGCCATGACTACAAGGGCTACACTGTTTGTTACTTCAAACTTCAGTTCAAGGAACTCTGAGAAGCTGGGGGGTTGGTTGTACTGAGAAATATTTGCAGGGGGCAGGGAGCAAAACCCAGGGCCACGCCTCTTGCGCTCGCTCTCTCCGTTCCTGTGATTCACAAGAACAAAGTGCTTTCAGTTTCAGTGCAACACCTAGAGCGCCCTGCTTAAAGCAGTGATGGTAAGCCACCTGGAGGGAACTTATGGGCTAGACTTGGATCATGAGCTCCTGCTCATCCAAGTCTAGCCCATAAGATCCAAGTCTAGCCCATACGTTCCCTCCAGGTGGCCTACCACCAGTGTTCCCTCTAGGCTGAGTGAGTGTGAGCCTAGCTCATAGTTCTTTAGCCACCAGCTCACACATTTTTGTCTTCGCTCAGGAAGGAGGGCTCCGGAGCAAACTAATTTATGCGGTAGCCAGATCGCCTGCTCACAATTTTAATACCAGCAGCTCACAAAGTAGAATTTTTGCTCACAGGACTCCACAGCTTAGAGGAAGCATTGCTTACCTCTCACCTCAGCCCTAGCAGGGGGGAAAAAAGAAACTTCCAGGCTAGAGGGAAAGTGTACACAAGAAAGAATGCCATGAAAAACAACCGCCCAATAACCCTGCATTTCCCTCCTGGGTTCTGGCCACTGGGTGACAGAGTGTTGGACTGGATGGGCCACTGGCCTGATCCAACATTGGCTTCTCTCGTGTTCCACCTCCTCTCCAATGAGAAGTCCAACTTACCAGGTCACTAGGAAGCACCTTGGCCTGTCCCAGGTCCCAAGAAAACGGCAGTCACCTGCAGCAGTTTTGTGTTGATTCCATGGAGTGGTTCCACACACTCACAATCCCTGCCTGCAGCCTCTCCCTCCCTCTCCCACTGAGGCCAGCGCCTGCCCTTAACAGTTCCAAAGTTCTTTTCTACAGCAGAGTAGCCCCTTGTAGGGACCCTCCTGGTTGTTGTTGTTGTTCAGTCGCACAGTCGAGTCCGACTCTTCGCGACCCCCGTGGACCACATCACGCCAGGCCCTCCTGTCTTCCGTCGTACTCCGGAGTTTGCTTAATTTGATGTTCGTTGCCTCGATAACACTGTCCGACCATCTCATCCTTTGCCATCCCCTTCTTCCCTAACCCTCAGTCTTTCCCAGCATCGGGGTCTTCTCCAGGGAGTGCTCCTGGAGGCTCATGCAAAGCCTGTTTGTGGTAGTTGCTTCAATAACACCTTTGAGCTGAAGCATGCAGAATGTCCTTGCTGTGCTACAATGCGTCGCGCTTCCCTTTATGAAGATGGAGTCTCCATTGTTGGTAGCCGTGTGTGTGTTATGGGTTGTGTGCACAGGCACCTGGCCTGGAGCGACCTTTGTTCAAAACATACCCAAGACATCTGGGGAGGGGTCATGCCTCAGTGGTTGAACATCTACTTTAGCCGTGCAGAAGGTTCCCGGGTTCAATCCCTGGCAGCATCTCATAAGCACATAAGAGAAGCCACGCTGGATCCGGCCAACGGTCCATCCAGTCCAACACTCTGTGTCACCCAGTGGCCAAAACCACCAGGTGCCCTCAGGAGAGGCCCACCAGCGGGGCCAGAACTCCAGAAGCCCTCCCCCCATTGCCTCCCCAGCACCAAGCAAAAAGGACCAGCTTAACGGACCAGGCGGCAGGAGAGGCGAAAGGCCTCAATCTGTCTGAGACCCTGAAAAGCCGTTGAGGGACCAAGGGCTGGATTCTGTCTATGGTGGTTCCTGGTGCTCACTGCCTTCCCTGTGGCACAGGAGCGTTCCACCCACCTGTGGCAAGGCAGCCGTCACCACCGTCACTGTGACGCCGGTGAGTTTGGCTTGGGGGTTGAGCAAAGAGCCGTATTTCGTCCATTCCACTCTGATTTCAAACCGCACGGGGATTTCGCAGCCACTCTGAAGAAAGAAGCGGAAGAGAGACAGAAGAGTCAGTTACTTAACGAGGGAAGCTGGCCGAGACGGAACAGCGGCCCGGGCTAGCTCCACCCGTGCAGCGCGGCGCAGCCCCATCACCGTCCCCGCTAATTAATAAAGCCGCTCCACGCCTTGGCCACGGTCCAGCCCGGCTAAGCATGCCTAAGCCCATTGCTCCCAATTGGCTTACGGGCACTTAGCTGCCGGCTGGATTTGCAGCCCTCGCCGTTTCTCCTCGGCTGCTCGGGAAAAGGGTAACTTTGGCTACTGGCTGATTAGTGCCGGGGTCGGGGAGAGCTGAGTCCAAATGAGGCGGTGAGTAAAGAAGGAAAGCACATTCCTCCGTGCCGCAGCTAATGTAGAAGAAGAAGAGGAGGAGGAGGAGGAGGAGATTGGATTCATACCCCTTTGCCCTTCACTACCCGAAGGAGTCTCAGAGCGGCTTACAATCTCCTTTCCCTTCCCCTCCCCGCAGCAGACACCCGGTGAGGTAGGTGGGGCTGAGAGAGCTCTCCCGAGGACTGCTCTTGAGAGAACAGCTCTGAAATAACTTGTGACTGACCCAAGGTCACACCAGCAGCTGCAAGTGGAGGAATGAGGAATCAAACCGGGTTCGCCAGATTAGAGTCTGCCGCTCTTAACCACTACACCAAACTGGCTCTCGTAAGCACAGCATGACTAGAAAGGTGACTGCCTGGCCCACCCACCATCTCTCTCTCTCCCCTCTTTTTAAAAGAATTAGAAGAGATTGGATTCATACCCCTTGCCCTTCACTACCCAAGGGAGTCTCAGAGCGGCTTACAATCTCCTTCCCCTTTCCTTCCCCACCACAGACACCCCGTGAGGAAGGCGGGGCTGAGGGAGCTCTGACAGATCTGTCCTTGAGAGAACAGCTCTGACAGAACTATGGCTTGCCCAAGGCCATCCAGCAGCTGCAAGCGGAGGAGTGGTGAATCAGACCTGGTTCTCCCAGATTAGAGTCCGTGCACTTAATCACTACACCAAACTGGCCACACAGACTGCACCCCCTATTCCTGCTCAGTATGTGGCCTGCGTGGCTCAGTGGAAGAGGGGGAGCCCCATTTTTGGAGTTTCTGCCCGAGGCTCAAAAACACGTTTTGTCCTGGGAAATTCCTGCAGGGAGAAGAGGGCCAGCCGTAGCTGAGGAGGGGGGCGCAGGGGGAACGGGGGCTTGCTTTGTAGAGGTCACCCAAGCCGGCTCTGGCACAGGACCCACCAAGCAAGCAGAGGCCAAGCTGAGCCAGCCGACTTCTTCGCAGCCTGGTCGCCTTCCCCAGAACGTACTGAGGTTTTCAACAGACCCGGTTGGCAAGTCTGGGCAGGAGGCTCAGGGTGGACAAAAGGAAATACTACTTTCCACAGAGAGACATTAAACTGTGGGATTGGCTGCCAGAGGGAGTCGTGATGGCCACCGGAATAAACTGCTTTAAAAGGGGATGAGACGGATTCGTATAGCTACTGGCCATGGTGACTATGGGGAACCTCCTCATTCAGAGGCACTGATCCTCTGAATCCCAGACCCAGGAGGCAGCATCAGGGGAAGGCCTCGGCCTCAGTACCCTGCTGCTTGGCTGCCCAGAGGAACTGGTTGGCCCCTGTGTGAGACAGGATGCTGGACTAGATGGACCCTCACTGGGCTGATCCAGCAGGGCTCTTCTGAAGTTCTTATTGGGGGAAGGCCTCGGCCTCTCTGCCCTGTTGTTGGCGATCCAGAGGAAGTGACCGGCCATCGTGTGAGGCAGGATGCTGGACTAGATGGACTATCAATCTGATCCAGTAGGGATCTTCGGATGGTCTTATGTCAATATTCTTCAATGTACATTTTTATTATTCAGGTATAATCACTTTGGATTAGCCCTGATCTCTCTGTATTTAATGTGTTTATGTATGCATTTACACACACACACACACACACACACACACAAAATGGGGGTTTCCACACGGAGGTAAGCTTGTGTGGTTTCCCTAATGCAGGTCTGGCTACCGCTAATATATAACGGCAGTGGGGACTTCCACACAGCAGGTTTCCTTGCAGTTTCCCTAGCCCAACCCCAGCAGCAAGCAAAATCCTCTTCCCAGGGTGGCCACCACCAGCGCTCCCTCTAAGCTGAGTTAGTGTGAGCTAGCTCACAGCTTTTTAGCCTCCGGCTCACACATTTTTGCCCCAGCGCAGGAAGGATGGCTGAAGAGCAAACTAATTTGTGCAGCAGCCAAACTGCTCACTCACAGCTTTAATGCCAGTAGCTCAAAAATAGAACTTTTGCTCGCAAGACTCCACAGCCTAGAGGGAGCATTGGCTACCACGCCTCTTGATTTTAAAAAAAAAAGAAGTTGGCCCTGGAGTATCGTTACAGCAATATAACATTCTAACAATAGGTGTAAAAAATCCCCAGCATTCATTTTGCAAAAAAGACTCACTCTTCTCTCCCAGGTATTTGCCTTTTCCCTTAAATCTCCAGAAGAGAAGAGGCTAGAGCAGGGGTGTCAAACATGCGGCCCAGGGGGCGGATCAGGCCCCCGGAGGGCTTATATCAGGCCCGCAGTGGGACTGGCTGTCTTCTGCTTCTTCGTCCTGTTCTGCTGCTGCTGCGTCATCTTGGGTTTGCAGCTTACAGATACACACCTGAACAGCATACTCAAGATTGCAACAGCACAGACATTCTGATGCAATAATTCAGAGCAAGAGGTGTCAGTTATCAGACACTGTGAAATACACAAAATATTGCAAGAGTGCTGATGTTTTAAGCATGTTTTTATTTTAAGTAAATAAAAGCCCCTTTGTGTTTGTGTCTTTTATAAAGTTTATATCTCCGCTGCCTGGCATTACCTTTTATGACACACATGGCTCAGCCCAAGGTCTCATTTATGTCAGATCCGGCCCTCTTAACAAATGAGTTCGACATCCCTGGGCTAGAGACTCCCCACCCCATCCCGAGAGTGCTGGGATTTCAGAGGATCTGTCACACCTATTGTTATAATGTTATATCACTATAACTATATTCTAGTGTTCATTTTTTAAAAAATAAAAAAGGGGGGGGAGAAATGTCTGTCACGGGGATGGTAGCTGGGGAACTGGCTGACAAATGGGTGGAAAAATCTGGATTTCCCCCATCCACACCACGGCTGACCAGACTTTACTGTGATCTTTCCCAAAACCTTGGAGCAGAGCAGGTTTGGGAAACCTTGGAGCAAAGCCGGGGAAACTCTGGGAGGTACACAAATTTACCACAATAATGTAGAAAAGCCGGGGGGGGGGGGGGGGTGTCTCTTTCCAACAGCATTTTATCTGGAGTAAATGAACCCGGATAGAAATGGGTCTGCTTTTATCGGGATCTTCATTATTTGACCTCAGACAGTGAATGCATGACGCTGCCTTAAAAAGGTAAAGGTTCCCTTGCTCGAAATCTACAAAGGGGACCAGCAATTTAAAGATACAACAATAATGGAAGAAATTGCTGTTAGGTTCACACAATAGCACTGTATAGACAAAAATGAATAAATAAACTTGTTGAGATGACGTTCAATGATGTTTGTAATTTCTATATTTTCAGGACAAAGGACGTCTGACACTGAAGATAGGTGATACGAACATCTCGAGTGGTAGTTCGTTTCGAGACACAACTCTTTTTCAACCACATTTTGCCTTTAGCCTGAGGTATCTATCAATTGTATTAAAGTCATATGCACTGGTAAGTTGGCCTTCCTTGTATGTATAAACAATTTACCTTGTTTGCATTTTGCACCTATCTAATGAAAGGGATGCTTGTATTCAGTAAGACTTGTTGTCCGGATTGTTATTAAGCCTGTGTGCTGAATCATAAATTTGTTAGCCTATGGCTGCTGGAACTGTTGTTGATAAGCTTTTTATTATGTATGTACACTTAATAGGGATTGACTATAGAAGGCTACTGACTATAATATAATGCTATGTAATACTAGAGAATTCACTGTATATATGTTTTGTGGTTTTGTCCTTAGCCTGATGCATCTATTAATTTGTGCTAAAGTTATATGTACTGGTAAGTTGGCCATCCTTGCATGCACAAGCAATTTACCTTGTTTGCATTTTGCACCTATTTAAGGAAATGAATGCTTGTACTCAGTAAGACTTGTTGTCCGGACTGAAAACTAGTAAGCCTGCGTGCTGTATTATAAACTTGTTAGCCTATGTGCTGTTGGAACTGTTGTTGGTAAGTTTTTTAACATGAATTAATAGGGATTGAGTTATGCAACTTGCTTTTGTTCTCATATCATGTTTTGTATATTACAGGAAAAGATTGATACTACCTCTGTACACAAAAAGGCAACCAGAGAATCTGTATGTAACTTTATTCTTTATTAATTCAATCATAGCCTATGTATATTGTTCAGGAGCTCATTGTATTCCATCTGCTTTTGATAGGAATTGTGGTTGAAAAAGAGTTGTGTCTTGAAACTAACTACCACTCGAGATGTTCGTATCACCTATCTTCAGTGTCAGACGTCCTTTGTCCTGAAAATATAGAAATTACAAACATCATTGAACGTCATCTCAACAAGTTTATTTATTCATTTTTATCCCTTGCTCGAAAGCCAGTCGAATCCGACTCTAGGGTTGCGGTGCTCATCTCCGTTTCAAAGCCGAAGAGCCAGCGCTGTCCGAAGACGTTTCCGTGGTCATGTGGCCGGCATGACTAAACACCAAGGCGCACGGAACGCTGTTACACTGCCTTAAATGCCTTAAAAGGAGCCAAACTACTGGTGCTGTCTGCTCTGACGGACCGAACACGGGACTTTCTGCGTGCAAAGCAGAGGTTCTAACAATGAGCCACAGCCCTATACCAGGTTCATTCATCTCCTGCTTGAAAAAGTTAGAGAGACAGGGGGGGGGGGGGTACTGGTCGGCTGCCGTTGTAAACAATCTGCACCCAGTCCAGTCCATTCTGGGGCTCAGAATTCCCGAAAGAAGCCACTACTTCTGGGAAGTTTTGCCCCTTCAGCGTGTTCAGGAGGGCCGGGGCCAAAACTTGGCATTCAGCATCTTTGGTAAGTCTGTCAGAATAGAAATCACCAGAGTCAGCACGCGAGATATAAGCTGAATGCCCTCTGGACAGCCACTGTGGTGTAGTGCTCAGGAATGTCGGACTAGGATCTGGAAGACGCGGGTTCGAATCCCCACTCCTGCCATGGAAGCTCGCTGGGTGACCTTGGGCCAGTCACACACTCTCAGCCTCACCCACCTCTCAGGGTTCTTGAGAGGATAGAACGGAAGAGAAGAGAATGAGGTGCGCCGCTTTGGATCCCCATGGGGGGGAAAGGTGAAGTATAGCTGAAATCAGTAAACGATAAGTAAATTCAGCCAGTATCATGATGCCCCTGTATAAATCGACGGTGCGACCTCTATTGGAGTCCTGTGTACAGTTCTGGTCACCACACATCAAAAAGGATATTATAGCATTGGAAAAAGTGCAGAAAAGGGCAACTAGAATGATAAAAGGGTTGGAACACTTTCCCTATGAAGAAAGGTTAAAGCGCTTGGGGCTCATTAGCTTGGAGAAACAACGGCTGAGGGGTGACATGATCGAGGTTTATAAGATTATGCATGGGATAGAGCAGGTAGAGAAAGAAGTACTTTTCTCCCTTTCTCACAATACAA